TTTAGAGAAACCCGTTCAAACTGCCATAACAAACAAAATTGTAGGCTACCTATAGGCCTACTGTGGATCTTAAGTCAAAAGTAGAATAGGCAGGCTACAATTGCCTAGATATTGGCGATCTTCGCTTTCGCTGCAGCCGAAACAATCACCGTGCAACTCACTTCATTGCATTTCCCCTATTCAAAAGATCATAGCCTAGAGCCAAAATTTAAATTTCAACCAAAATGTAAATGAGACCTCTAACAATCAATCCCTGTTCAATTCAACGAAGGTTTCTTCAACATCTGATAACATTCTGCTAGGCTTAGGCCTAAAAATCAAATCACTGAAGTTCTTCCAGTTTACAAAGATAATGTCATTGGTAGACATAACTTTTTAGACCAGAATGGACAATGTAACGTAAGTTAGGCCTACCCGATACAAAAATTATTTTGCAACAGATTCAATTAATTACACGCCAATGTGTTTCATGATAGGCAGATGGTGTTTTTGGGCTCTAAATAGGGACATTAAAAAAACGAAAAAGTAAATCGACCCCGGGTCCAGGTCTTACCATGAGTACTACAGTAATAGCTTATTCCCTAGTTTATATGGGAAATTCGCTAAAAAGACAATCTATTCTATATATAATTCAGTTTTAAAAATCTTTGTACAACTAAATCTAGAGTTCCACTGGACCGATTTTATTCATTAATGGGTCGTTGGAAAGCTTAAGTCGTGTAGATTTGCAAATAATTATGAAAGTTTGTTTTTGTTATGATTTATGGTGATAAATTAAAGAAAACGTGTTTTCCATAAGAAATACATTGAAAACGGTGTTTTTCACAATTTTTATTTGGGCGCGACTTTTAGCTGCCATTTTTTTATATTTCCAAGAAGTGCATGGTATCAATTTGTAGGAAATTTTATTCTCTTTCAGAATATCACCTTCCACTTTGGTTGATTTCCTCACCATTTAAAAGTTATTTGCAAAAAAGCTAAGCAACCTCCGAATTTATAGTAATGAGAAAATATTGAGTTTGGGATATTTTTGTTGAACTTTGTACAACTAAATCTAGACTTCTACTGGACCGATTTTGTTAACTAATGGGTCATTAGAAAGCCTAACCCATGTAGATTTGCAAATAATTATAAAATCGTGATTTAATTAAATATTTGTTGTGAAAAATTAAAAATAACAAAAATACATTAAAAACTGGGTTTTTCAAGTTTCTGTTTTCAAGATTCTATTTGTAGCCAGGTTTTGGCTGCCTTTATTAAGTATTTCAAGAATTGCATAGTAGTTATTTGTAGTAAATTTTATTCTCTTTCAGAATGTTACATTCACTTTGGTCGATTTCCCCTCCATTTAAAAGATATTGGCAATAATCTAAGTGATCTCCAAATTTATCGTGGTGAGAAAATACTGAATTTGATATATTTTTGTTAAACTTTGTACAACTAAATCTAGACTTCTACCGGACCGATTTGGTTACTTACTGGGTCGTTGGAAAGCCTAATTTGTGTAGATTTGCAAATAATTATGAAAGTTTGATTTTATTAGTTATTTAAGGTAAAAAAATAAAAAATAAAAATAATACATTTAAAACTCCTTTTATTACAGGTTTATATTTTCAATTTTATATTTGTAGCCAACTTTAGGCTGCCTTTATTGAGTATATTCGAGAAATTCATAATAGTAATTTGTAGGAAATTTTATTCTCTTTCAGAATATCACCTTCCACTTTGGTCGATTTCCTCGCCGTTTCAAAGTTATTTGCAAAAACGTTAAGCAACCTCCAGGTTTATAGTAGTGAGAAAATACTGAATTAAAGATGTTGTTGTTAAACTTTGTACAATTAAATCTACAGTTCTACTGAACCGATTTGATTAATTAATAGGTCATTGGATTGCCTGATTTGTGAATATTTGCAAATAATTATGAAAGTACTGTTGAGGTTGCAAGCAAGATCGTTTGGCTATAAATCGATGATAAATAACTCCATTTTTTTAACAATTTGTGATGGTCGTGATTTAGCTGCGTACTTTAATGAAATGGAAGCTGGTATTTCAATGAGGGTTCTTAGGTCAAAACAAATAGAGTAACGTAATTAGAATTAAGTAAATGTATCTAAAACTTAATTCCAAATCCAAGATATAATCAAATTTATATTTTCTGATTGAGCGATACAGTATCTTGAACTTAACTGATTAAAACTATCAATATCTCAAGTGAAAGCCTTTGAAGTATTTTAAGACCAAGACATATAAAATAACCTAAATAATAGAGGTACGTATCATTGATTGCAGATAGGTACTATAACTATTGTATTTATTGTTGATTCGTGATTCAGCAGTGTGCTTTAGGTAGTCCGATCTTAATAATCAATAGCTCAAATGAAAGCTGGTATTTCACTTAAGGTGTTTAGACCAAAATGTATAATGCAATTATAACTGCTGGAATACATCTTTAATTGGAGGGAAAACAAATTCTTTCGTCGATTAATACATTAGATAAATTAATGATGATGCTTGATGACAAATATGTGCTTGCATAGCTTTATTTTAAGACCAAAATTATGAAAATCGGGCAGGTAGAAGAGCCCTCCTGTAAACCATCGCCCGCTTGCGAAACATTGCGAAAAACCAAAATTTAACTCCCATAAGAAATGTACAGGGAGGCAGTTTGTGCATAACTCGAAATATACGTCAAAATGAATGCCGATGCTTGATAGTAAATCTGCGCAACGTCCCACACCTTTAGTTTAAGGCCTAAATTATGAAAATCGGTCGGGTAGAAGAGCTAACCCGCCTCGGAAAAGAAAAACAAATTATTTTTATAGATGGCAATAATTGGTTTACCAGTATGCATAATCTAATCATACGAAACATGTGTTAATAATTCAACAGCTTATTGTTATCTAATTAATTTTTCTTTGATAAAATGTTGTTGTTAACAATTTGCATTTATGTTTAAAGTGTGTTTCTTATGTTAAATGTGTGATTCTAATGTTATGTGCTTAAACTGTACCATTAATATTAGTGAGTAAAGTGGTGTATGGATTTCATAACCATTACTTTACTAGAGACCGTTGTATTTAACCACAACGGGCACTGTTGCTAGTAACTTAATAAGTTAGTGATTCAATTCAACCTAATTTTTTGATGCAAGTTAGGCCTGTCTAACATTAATTAAAGACATAAAATATCACCTGCAGTTTCAGACCAATTGGCTGCACTTTAGTTTGCGTACTACACTCATTTGAATGAAAAATATGGATATATAGCCTAGATTATTTGATGTATCAATTATTTCATTCAGTTAGCCAAGTAGCCTAGTTAACTTAGTTCAGGTTACCTAATCTAACCAACCAAACTTGATAGGGCCTATATAGAATGAAATAATCGATATATCCATTCCAATGAGTGTAGGACGTGCCTAAACTAAATTGCAGCCGCTTTTTATCGTAGTACTTGCAACAAAAAAGGTAGTAGCCTAAATTAGTTAGCCTATACCATTGACTATTGGATACAGAAGTTGTATCAACACAGTCAAAAGGTTATACTCTTTGGCCACTACTCCGGCTCCGGTATTCTTAATTTTGTTCTAGGCTTACCCATTAAGTTTACCCAGACTTGAATAGAAAATAAATAATAATAACTTAATAACAGTTACTATGATATTATTGATATATAAGTTACTATGATATTGATGGCTCAAATCCAAATGTAAACTTAGCCATAACCAACCTAAACAATCTATCCAAACCAACCTCCTTTCTTAAATCTTAATTTTAAATTGCATACTAAGTTAGGATGAAGGATGTGATGTAGGCTACATGCAACATAGGATTGGAAATTGGAGTTTAGAATTTTTATCTTAACAAAAATAAAATTACATCCAACAACTAAATTAAATAAAAGACAAAGAGACTTTAGCCGACAACGGCGAGACAACCCTCTTCACTTCCGTGGGGTGTCA